CAGAGGTGAACAGGAGGCTCTGTGATGGTCTTGTTGGAGCGTACGGTGGCGACAGTGTTTCCCTTAAAATGGAGATTTTATCCTTCTAACATAAGTGCCATTAGCTTAAGGGAGAGAGAAATATTAGCCAGGAAATCTTCACAACAATATCAAAACTACTTTGTCTCTATAGTTATTTTGTGGATTTGTATTTTTATATTGGAGATGTATGAATTTTGCATTGACTGGCTTTGTAATGAACTGTCTGTAACTTTTAGTTTTCTTTTTCTTCCTCTGATAAACTGGCAGGATAGAATAGATCGAAAGAGGAAACTGAGCTTTCTTAAATGTCTTGTTATTATTATTATTAATATTGTTACAGCTTGATTTATTTATAATTGACTACTTAATGTCTGTGTGATTGCTTTCTTCTCCCTATGGGAGATCAGATCTCTGACTGTGTGAGTGTGTGTGTCAGTTTATGGCCTGCATGTGCATGTGCTGTACGTGTGTGAGTGTGTGTGTGTGTGTGTGTGTGTGTGTGTGTGTGTGTGTGTGTGTATGTATGTATGTGTGTGTGTCACCTCTACTGTGGATAACTTCTATGTATGCATTGCATGTCTGTGTCCTCTATGTGAGACCGGGAGTTTCTGGTGTCTCCTGGTGTGTTTCCTTTATCGTGTGAGTACGACTGTGTGTGTGCGGCTTGCTCCAGTTGTCCGTCTGCACGACTCCAGGTATAGCTATGGTGTACTACTGTGTGCTGATGCATGGCCGTATGGGGAACGTGTGAGTGTTAGTGTGCGGTATGACTGTGTGTGTGGTCAAACTCTCGACCTCGACTGTGGGAGTTTCTGATGCTCAGCTCGCTTCGACAGGAGATGTTGCACAATGCACTCGATGTACCTTTCCAGTAGTGGATATCTGGTATTATCTGGTTTCAGTATATGATTTCTCTTGAGTGTACATGTTTGTAACTTGTTTTCTTCATGCAGTGTACCTCTGCTTTACAGGAAAGCTCTTTAGTGAGGGTTAATGACTATTTTTTTCTCCGCTGGTCTTTGTTGTTAAAACTTGATTGGTCGTCATCTTGTCAAAAAGTTTCCAAAACCGCTGAATGTGGATGTCGTCATTGTGGAAGGCTTGGACTGTTGCTTTCTTTTTCCAGAAAACATAAAACACACGTTGCTGTCTGTGAAAGTCGTGGGCTGCATGAATGGATAACACAAACTGTTCTCTGAAATGTTTAACTGTACTACTATGATTTTCCCTCGAGTGTTGATCACTTTACAAAAGAGAAAAAAACGCACCTTTAACTTTACTTTTCGATATTTGTTTCTTTTTCCGTCATTTTGTTCGATGATTGTTCTGCATGTTGGGACTGCAAAACTTATAAGTGTTGTCTTTTACTGCCATGAAGGACTACTGAAATAAACTTTACAATCATGGAGGAACAATGTGAACATCATTGCTTATTCTTCTGTGTATTCGCAGGTTTGTAATCACTGTGTCGTCTTGTGCCGGTGTGTGGCGACAAACAGGACAAACAGCACAGTGGGAACCTAAACAGGAAAAGGCAGGGAGAAACATCAGTATGCCTGCAGGGCACAGGAACACATCAACAGAGAACCTATTTGTTATGATGGTGACGTTCAGTCGGCCTTCTACTGTCCTGAATCCTAAACAGACAGTAATCTGTTCACGTACAAGATGAGCATCCAGATTAAATAAAAGTTACTCAAGCAGACTTTAATTTCATGTTTATAAGATTACGTTTACGAAACAAGTCTGGGAGGAGGATTTTATTCTTCTGTAGCATTTGGGATCAAACATTCGCTCAAACATCTGTTGGTAACTATTTTAATGATCTATAAGTCATTATCAGGCAAAGATACAAAACTTCAATGGTCCCAGCTTCTAAAATGTGAGAGTTTTCTGCTTTCCTCTGTAGAATATAAATTAAATACCTCTGCTTTTTGGACTGTTGGTCAGACAAAACAAGATATTTTAAGATGACACCCCAAGCTTTATGATACTGTGACTGACTATATCACAATTTTCTAACATTTCATAAACCAGTAATGAATGAAGAAAACATTCATCAGATAAATAAGTAATTGAAGTAATCGTTAATTCTGCCCTACTACCAAAAAAAAAATGTGTTGAGCAGCTGCTTTGTCTGAAATACAGTCATGGAGAAACTGGTGTTTCACTGGTGATACAGTGCAGCCAAACAAACTGGCATCAGTTTAATTAAAAGCAAAGTAAGAGTAGGTTGCTGTAGGTTGGTTGCTGACAAATATCTATTTTTAACCTACATCAGAGCAACGACATCACGTCCTTTTTGGGGAAAAAGTGCGGGTGGTGTTGTTGAACAAAAACGTATCTTAAAGGCGGAGTCCATGACTCTAATTCAGTACATTATTTGTCAAATTCAGTGAATATCTCCCCATGTTTCACTAGCTGTATGTTCTGCGTGCAGGCTGAAAGAAAAATCTGATGTTCATACACAGCTCTGGTTCTAAATGGGAAATAAAGTGTCTTGGACTAATATTGTGCTGCATTTATGCACAGGACAGAAGAAAAAGCCATGGAACGTGTAAAGAGAAAAGGCAGCGGGAGCAAAAGGGACGTTACAACAGAGCATCTCAAGGAGCAAAGGCGGGAGGGTCGCATTTGTTTGAGTGGTGGGGAGTACAAATAGTCACTCTCCAGAATTGCTGACTCTACCCTTAAAGCCACAGTGTGTAGGAATTTCTCCCATCTAACGTTGAAATCATATATTGCATTCAAACAGATGGCGCACTCTAGCGCCTCACTGTTTCAAACACACGTATTGCAACAACTGTAGCCGCTGTGTACCAAAAAGCTATGATAACACTGATGAAACCATGTCATCCGATACTACATGGAGTATTCATTCAGGCTCCTACACAGACACACGCGACGCGAGTTGACAAACCCCCTCCTCACCACGCTGGCTGTGTTTACAACGTAGGACTGTTGGGGCGGATGTAAATTGAAACAAACCAATCAAGTCTTGTCCTTTGACAACTGACAAGTGGCTCAACCTCACACACCTCATCCCTCTCCTCGCATTACTGCGCTGCTAACAGCTGTTAGTGGCCAGCGGCACTACTGCCGCATAACAAAGTCCCACTCTTTGAGCATAATGCAGGATCATGTATTATGCAGCATCACGGGAGACAGAATCCTCGTCGCCAAGAAAGTGCAAAAGGGAATCAAAAAGGCAGCGTGACCGGCGAATTAAAAAAGACAAGGGTCAGCATTGGGGTTGCCTTTCCCAGGTGGAGAGAGCTGCTGAAGGAGAAAGGTAATACAATCACAGGCCAGCGCTAACAGCGGCTAACAGCTAATAGCAGCGCAGTGATGCGAGGAGAGGGATGAGGCTGTTAGCGACTGGCCGCTAACAGCGGCTAACAGCCAACAGCGGTGCTGGCCTGTGATTGCATTACCATTCTCCCTCAGCAGCTCTCTCTACCTGGGAAAGGCTATCCTGATGTGGGCCTTCGTTTTTTTAATTCGCCGGTCACGCTGCCTTTTCTATTCCCTTTTGCGCTTTCTTGGCGACAAGGATTCCGTCTCCCGTGATGCTGCATATGCATGATCCTGCATTATGCTCAAAGAGTGGGACTTTGTTTCAAATTTGCCAGGGTAGTAGCGAAGCGCCTCTTGCTCCTCTCCCTCAGCTCCTCAGTCACGCAGCGCTGGCCTGGCTCTCAACGAAAAACGCAGAAGGCAGCGCTGTATGTCCCTTGCTGGTGGGTGTATTCTCAAGATGGCGAAACGTAATGGAACCCCACAGACGACTTACCCGCACAATGTACAAACAAATCCGAAATTCTCCTTTTACGAGAATAAGTCAGATTATTGGTGGAGATAATAGTACACCAGTGATGACATATTTATGAATGCAGACATCAATTTTTGCCAATAAACAACTGAAAATGTTACACAATGTCCCTTTAAGGCTGGATTACATACATGCATTTCCTGTAAATCCTGTGCGCTCAGGTTGACAGTTTGAATCCATCACAGGACTAAAACCAAAAACCACCATATCGAGGGCTAATTAGGGAACATGAACATATCAACTGGCTACTTTTGGAAAAAATGCCAAACATAAAGGGTATCAAAACTATGGTTTGATTTTATATAAATGTTAAAGCTCACACCTTTAATGTGTGCTCGATCCCATGATCACAGTGAATTCAATATATGTCAGATTTTGTTTTGAGAATAATTTTTTCAGGTTTCAGGTTTAGGACCCACAAAAAAAGGGAGAGAAAATTGAATTTTGATGAAACTCTTACAACTGAATAAAGTAAAACCCTTCAATGTGAGTAATAATCAGGACTCTAACTTGGAAAAGAAACTGGAAAGTTTTTCAGGGCTTGGCAAAGACATGAAAGAATATTCCCATCCAAAAAGATTTAGGAAATGTCACGAAAACCTGTTCACAACTTGTATTTTCCTTTTAAAAGCAGAGTGTGGAATGTGAGAGCTGAAGCCCGACCAAACAGCTGTGAGCACGGACGAGACTTGAAGACGTTCACACTGGAATCTGTCAAGTAAGTTGTATTTTGTGTTGAAACAGTCACAGACTTTAAGGAACCCAGCAGTGGCAAACATCCTCACACTAAGTAGTTTGCAGGTTTCAGGAGACACTGATTGCCAAGTCTATTTCACAGTCAGATAACTGGAGAACAGAGCAGCCTTTGTGGAGATTTTGCCATACCTGTTGGTGCAACCTAAACCTCTATTTCTGGGGCGAGTTGTTTTTAACACTGTGACCATGCCATGCTCATTGAACACTGACAATGACTGATCTCAGCGCTGCATTCCTGCTGTGAAGTCTGGCGCAAGAATGAGCGACAGGTAGCAAGCTGCTGTGCAGACCCGGCCACTCCGGTTTCCATTTTGTCTGAGTGATGATGAGGCGTCTTTCAGAGCACAAATATATCATTTAACAGACTTCACATTTATCAGTGCACAGATTGTTCTGAGAGACAACATTTTATTTGCTGTAAATTAGGGAATCAATATGACAACCCTGCTCTGGGTATAACGTCTGTACAACATTTTATAAAAGTCCACATTTCCTCCAAAATGAAATGTCCTTTGTGTATCAGGTCCTCTCCTCCGTCAGAGGTCCTTGCGATTGTCAAAAAACACAATATCTCCCTGGTTTCCAACATCTATTTCTAACAATGTAACAATGAGTGTCAGAGTGACAGTGCTGGTGCTGTCTGCCTGTGCAGTGTTTCAGTTTTCTGAGGAAAATTTGTGATAAACTGTTCAAGATTTTAGTCTGTTTCGTGAGCTGCCATCTTGACAAACAGCCTGTATGAAAAACCAAATGTAAGTCCAGTGAGGTCTGTTTAAAACATTAGATAAAAGTGCACGTTTCACAACTGTTGCTGCCTCTAACAGGTCTGTTGAACTCTGATGTGTCCTGTGATGCAGAAGGGGGAAGTGCCTCAGGCCACACAGCTTTGTCACACTTTATCCCTCGTCCTCCTGTCGCGCTCTCTGTGTCCGCTCAGCCAGCTCTGGGCCTTCCACCCAAACACCACCAGCTGTGTTGCAGTGTGTGTTCGTCCTCGCCAACTCACATCCAACCATCTAGAAATCATGTAATCCCTCTATTTCCCCTGCTGTGAGCCCTGTCAGCTCTGTCCGAAGTCAGCGAAGCTCTTGGCTGCTGAGAAGGCATCGGGCTGCAGGGGGAAGAAGTACTGCTGTGGCAGGAGGAACCCGGTGGTCTGAGAGGGGTGAGAGGGCTGGTGGAGCTGTAGCTGGGTGTGGGTGGAGGGTAGTGGGTGCTGCATGCCTCCTGACATGGGTGGGGATGTGTAAGGGGGAGGGGGAGGTGGAGGCAGAGTCTGAGGGGTCTGGGTGGGGGTGGAGGCTGATGAGGAGACGGTGGCAGACACCAGGCAGCCGTGCTGCTGCTGCTGCTGCCCCTGACCTCCGAGAGAAAACCTCCGCATGGAGCTGCCGCCTCCAGCCGAGCTAGAGCTGGTGGTGGCCGTGCTGGACTGTCGTGATGGGGCGCGGAGGCTTGGGGGAGCGGAGGTGAGGATCATGGGGATGGTTTCGCCCTGGCAGCTGCGCAGGGAGAAGCGAATGGGCTGCTGGGTCGGCTGCTTGGGTCGCAGGCAGGTGCAGCAGTAGACGGCCACCAGAGAGCCGACCACGACAAAGGCGACGAAGATGCTTCCTACCATTAGGAAGGGCACATAGACAGGTTCTGAGGGTGGAGGAAACACAGGCAGGTTAAGACCTTAATGGAACAGCGGCTGCAGGTTATTAAAATGTGCACAGGTGTAGATTTCGGGGGGTGCAGGGGACACATACCCCTCAAGATATAGAACATTTTCATTGGTCCTCCAAAGAAAAACATGAATTAAATACACTTGAACAATAAATTGATGCTGAAAAAATACAAAACCAGTGCATGAAATATTATTAGAATGCAGGAAATTAAACCTTTGATGCTCAAAATTTTCTAGAGGACTCTCAAACCCTTAATGCTGAATAAAAACCTATGCCCTTGAAAATGTTTCTACATGTTAAAAAAACACCCAACATACTTATGTGCTTTGACTTTCTGGGGAAACACAAAAATAATTAATTTAACGACTGAAAACTGTTCAGAGAAACTGCACAAAAATATAGAAATTACATTATTTCTAACACTTCAACTCCCCTGTTTTACATTTACAGGCACAATATAAACATCTTTACACTCTATAATGTAGTCATAAGCAGATGTAAGGACATTATAAGTGTTTTATACTACTACAACTACGTTTTACTATATTTTCATTCATTTTTAAGTTGTAGTTGTTGATGAATACATTAAAAACATCTGCTTACACTGACATTATACTGCTCTGTAAAACATTTAATGTTTAAGTTGTTATTATTAATCAGAAATAGAGTTATTAAAGTAAACTTTTACCTTGTTGGTCACTAAAACTACAGCCTGCTGTTTATGGTGGTTAACATTGTGAATCTAAACATTAATTAATAAGATAATTTCTTTCAAATCCATCATCGTATTATTAACAGACACATTCCTGCTGGAAAACACAAACAGCTCACGTTACACCCTCTGAAGCCCATTTACTCTTTGGGAGGAAATGAGTGTATGTTTATTTATTTTGATAGGAAAAAATAGGAAATTGTGAGCACAGTCTGTTCAGTTAAAGCCCCACAGCTTATCTGTTTGTTAAACTTAAAGAAAACTTTCGGGTTGAAGTGACCGATTATTAAAGGTTTACCAGCTCACAGTGAGTTAATGTCACACTCTGAGTCTGTCAAATGTTTAAAGAGGCCAAAGAAAAGGGGGTCACTTTCTCATTATGATTACTTTGGATGGCAAATGAGTGAGCTGAGTGTGTTTAGTATTTTGCAGCTCTATAAGCCGGACTGTGTGAGAAAGTTTTGAACGCATTCCTGCATTGTGGTCCGACTTATGTCTGTTAAGTTTTGTGCTAATTTCTGCTTAAAGATTAGTGAAGAATTAAGGGCATTTGTTGAGTGACTGACAGGCTGCGTCAGCAAAAAGCAGTTTTCCTTTTTACACTGACAGCGATCTGCAGGGAGCTCAGGTCAGATGAAGCCACAGGCGCTGAGATAGAAGCTGCTGGAAACTGGACACTTTGACTGAGTAATGCTGGAAATACATGAAAACTTTACTTTTACTTCAGTTTTTTTTTTTGTTTAAATCAATTTAACACACATTAATATTTTGTCCTAAACATGTGTTTAGCCTTTGTTGCCCCACAAAATAGAAATTTGAATCAGAATTTTATTGGCCAAGTATTTGTGCACAAACAAGGTATTTAACACCTGTTTTTTGCTCTCAGTGTACTCAGAAATAGACATACCCAGAAGGAGAAAGGACAACAAAGCTGGACAAATAAATTATTATTATTATGTATACAGGTATATGGAAAAAAATACCTCTTTATATATAAATATTTACAAAAAGCACCAGTGACCAACAATAACATTAAAATACTTAGTTTCTGGTATGAAAAGATGCAGAAAATCTTTAGTTTTATTTATTATAATTTCATAAAACAGCAGGATGATCTGGTCTGGAGGTTAGAAACTTAAGTGTCCCTGAGCAAGGCACAGAAACCTGCCTTATTCTGTCTTTACTGATGTTCAGCTGACCTCTGACCTCCCATTAGAAACCAACTTTCCTAAACATGTGTGCACCAGTGTTCATTATTTATAATGAAATGCAGGCTAAATACAATTAATGTAAGAATAAATAATGTATATGTGGTGTTTTCCCCAACCGAATTTAACTTAAGTAAATTTCCCTTTTATTTTAGAGCTGAGAAATGTATTTTCAAGTTGGTAAGTACTTTAAAACCTGCTGAACTTACGCGCGGCATACTCAGTGTTGTCCACCTCCCTGTCGTTGGTGCAGCTGCCCTGGTCCAGCCGTGCGTCCGCGGCCGCGCAGCAGTAGCGCAGCGCACAGGAGCCGCAGCACACGGTGGCGTCCATGGTGTCAAAGTCCTCCGGACACTGGAAGCCATCATGATAATTCCCATTAGCGTCCAGCCAGCCGTGGCAGTACTCTCCCTGCGCGTCCGATATCCGCAGATTCCAGGTCAGATATCCCAGCAGCAGGCAGCTCAGCAGGCGCACCATCCCGGCAAGCCGCTGGGGGGGTCACGGTTCCCCGCGTCCGGTGGGCTTCAGTTCCCGGAGTGTCGGTCCCCGGTTACAGACTCTTCATTGAGATTGATTTACTTGAAGAGAAACGCAGCGATCCGGAGATGTAAAGTTATGTCACCGTCATCTTCCCAACATCCACCGCTTTCAGCCAAAAGTTCCCAAATTGAAACGTGAGAAAATCCTTAATTGAATCTTCTCTTTTTTAAGTCACGTGTTAAAACATCTTCTCTGAACTTTCCTCTCATCCAAACATGTCAGACAGTCTGCTCCGGGTCTCGCTCTATCCGCTCCTCTGCTCGTTTGTTGATGTCGGTGCAGAAGTTGTGCGCCCACCTCACTGGAGACTTGCTGCTTTTGTGACTCTGTGAACGCGCGCACGTAACCCCCATTAACCGGACGTGCGCATTCACGTGGTGGTTCCAGGCAGGGGTGCCGATGATTCCCATTACCATGACGGTGCCCAAATAACATGCATAAATTATCTTAATGAGTTTAGTCTGCATGAGAGGAGAGGCACGGTGCAGCGGCTGCAGAGGACTGTGTGGAAATGTGAGTTTGTTTTAATCATGATTTTTACATTTAAAGATTGAACAATGCAAATGTCTTTAATTTAAACACATGGAGCACAACAGGAACAGGCTGTGGCATGCAGGAAAACAACAGCATTTAAAGTGGGACTAAAGTTTAAATACTAGATACTGCAATTTAACCAATTTTGAGTCAGTTTGTGGACATTTCTTCTGATCTTCTCTACTTATATTACTGTTAAAATACATTTTTAAAACCACATTTTCAGCATGTACAATGTTTAAACTTGTATTTGTGTGGCGTCTTTTTCACTGGCACTGCCACAGGGTGGCCAGGGGGCCACAGCCACCCCACCAGGGTTGTAAATTAAGTTTTTTTGTCCAGCTGCCACTGTTGCTGGTGGATTCCAAAAATGTACCAGCCTTTTAATAGATTATTATTGTTTTTTGGCTGGTAAATGAAGCAAATCTAGCAGCTACTTGTATATTTAACCCGCAAGTGGCTGGTGCTAATTTCCGACCCTCCATCCCACCTCCGTGAAAATAATCAGAAACAACTGGAAGCCTCTGTGTGGTGTATTTTAACTTGATTACGGTTGTTCCCAGTAAATGTTTTGTTCCTTACAGTCTATATACTCCTTTAAATTAAAGCAGTTTATTTGTCCTTTTGAGGAAAAGGACGATCAGCCTATATGAAGAGCAATTAATCCCCTAACACATGATTATACAGGTACATAACCAGGCTGCTCTCATGCACTGTTTGTAGTTTTCCTACAAAAAGTAATGCACCAAAATTCGTACCTATCCCACTTAATTATGAGCCAGTGCCTCGTGCATAACCCATGTAATTTAGAAAGGCTGTGATCATGTGACCAATGCGCCGACAGAAGTAAAGAATAAAGCAGGAAGCGGTCTTGTAAGGAGGCAGGTTGGGGTGGTGGATGGATCACAAAACACAGGACTTTCCCCAGGAGACTGATGCTTAGAACTTTGAGTGAGTCATTTTAAGGCACATCATCACCATGTTTCTTTTCCTAACCCTAAACACACTGACTTTTCGTGCCTAAACAAAACCTCTGTAACTATACTTTAAGTACGATATGTTATTCGTGGGGTGCAGATTTGTAGAATATTATACAAACTGTTGTATGAGACTATGTAGACAAAATACATTAAGTTAGATAAAAAATAGGAAACGCACATCCCCAAAGCCCACTGGGTTGGGTGCTGGATCACAAAGTATCAAAAGCATGAAAAAAGACAAAACACATTAAAACAGAATTGTTGTGGAACTCAATATGTTAACTGCACCAGTATGAGTCTATGCACATCACATAATTAGTAACACTGACTGTAAAATACATAACCAAAGTATATCAGTATGAGATTCTTTAACCCTCCATATTGACATAGTTTTTACCAATATACTACAACAGAATTCTTGAAGTACAGTTATAGCTTTTGGTTTTGGTGTGCCACCCAAAGATTTTCAGTGGCCCCATCTGGCCTCCCCTATAAACAAATTCTGGGGCCACCAGTGGTATTTTTAAAAACCTGTCCAGACTCTACAGGTGAAAATTAGCCTTCTAAGCTAACCGTCTTTGGACTATCAGGCTGAGTGGACTCTTAACTGTGACTCGTTCAAAGAAGTCCATGCTGAAGTCCGATGATGTGTTTTATAATGATTTATTAAACAAACAACTGAATAACTAAAGCAAAATTAGATTAAATATTATGTCTTATTATAACATGATTCCGATTACATTTTGTGGTAACGGTCAACAGAAAATATTGGAGCCAAAACTCACCCTCTGTGTCTAAAAGACGCCACACCAGTGCATGAACAGGTACTACCAGAAGTGACCCAAAGAACATGTACAGCCTAAACAAATGATAAATAATGAGGGTTAAAGACTCATTCTGGCTCCTACAGTCTTATTTGTGTTAGATTATAGTCCCTGAAAAGTAACAGAACCAAGCAAACTAAATCATTATCTTATAATTCTCACTTTTCCTGGCCAATAAAGCCTCAGTTCAATTAAAGTAACACAGGCTCACATTAATGCATGTGAATAGATTTATAGATAATTCAGGTAGAGTAAGTAGCTTGAAGAGGGTTAAAACTTTTGCAGAATAATTTATTTACAAACCTGTTGGCTGACGTTTGTGCCGCATTATTTTCTGAAATAATTAAAGGTTAATGTGTCAGCCTATCAATATTTCTATTGGGACCATTCCTCTATATGGGCCTGCAATCACGGATGGATTCCTGAACGGGCCTACCTGCAAAATATCACTCAAATTAACCCAGATTGTCCAGGACAAGACTCAGAAGGACCACATTGAGATACAAAGGAACTGCAGAGACACACAAAATAACTACAAAGGGACACAAAATGACAAAGGAAGACATGAGATTACCTCAAAGAGAAACAAAACCTCAAAAAGATGCACAAGGACTACACAGACACACAAGAAAAAATGAGTTAAAACCACCACAAAGTCTGCCTGTCTTGCTCCTATGTAGGACAGGTGGTGGGGGCCTTTAGTATATCTGTACCCGGGGGCCCACTGTCTCATAATCCGCCCATGCCTACAATATAAATCTATATCAATACAGGCTTGTCTCTATAAATCTTTCATTATTACCTTAGACAAACATGTCCAGTTTGGAGTCTAGACACAATATTGACTGAGCACTTGCGTGTGTTTAGACATTACACAGAGGTAAAACCTACTGACCTGTTTGGCATGTTGGAAAAGAGAGAAAAACATATTTATGTTAATCAGCAGCAGGTCTGTTTATTCCTCCACCTATTAAAGCTCCTCACGTTGTAACCTATTGATGTGGCGCCCCCATGTGGTGCTGCAAACTTTTAGGCCCGCAGGCACCAGACAGCTGCTACACCTTCCTTCAAACTGTCAGGATTGATAACATGAGGTGAATTGTGACTCAGATTATGAACAGGTAGAGTTTTATTTCTAAAAAAAAAAAGTGTAATATTGTGTGGAAAGCAGGATTAAACAGTATAAAATTAAATTTCCTGTTATTTTATTTTGATTTATTGATCCATTTATAAATTTGTAAATGTTAAGAGGAAGGAAAAATGAATGCTTATTTGCTCTTTTTATGGCTGTGTGGGTGTGGATGGCCTTTTCTTTCATTGCGCTCATGTTGATGCTCTGAGCTCAGTAGCAAAATGGCCTCTGCCTTTTCATTTGTAGGATTTGGTTGTGCGTTTTTTTTTTCATTTCCAGATTGTACAACTGCTACAGCGCCCCGTTGTTCTCTGTGTGGATGGTGGCTACAAAGGAGGCAGGCAGCGGCGCACAAGTCCCGCCTGTATTTCCCTCTGGAGGAGTCTCAGTGTCGGAGCTCCCGACTGGGGATTGGAGCGGCGGCTTGTCAGTAACTGAGCCCACCCTTCACACAGTGTGTATGAGGGAAACCGAGCCAGACAGTGACGGATCTGATCTTCCACTCATCAGCTGCCTGTCACACCAGCACGCCACGATACCGACCCCGGAGACTTTCGCCTTCCGCCGCCGCGCTGTGACACCTGGCCGGGATGGAGGGAGAGATGCAGCCCGCAGATGAAGGGCCCTGCGCCCCGAAGATGTGCCGACAACAACGGGGTCCGTACAGCACCCTGAAAATCTTCCAGAGCAAGCGCTCGGCGGGCAAGTCGCGCTTTGACAGGTCGGCTGTGGTCGAGGTGCCTCTGTTTGGTGACGGACACCACTTCACTTTCCATCCCGAGCAGCCTCATCATTTCCAGCCGCACCATCACCACCACCACCACCAGCAGCGTCTGCAGCAGCAGCAGCTCCACCAAACCAGCGTCGCTATCAGCAGCAGCCAGCAGCAGCATCACCCGACGCCCCAGCAGCAGCAGCAGCAGCAGCAGCAGCAGGATCGTTTCCCATGTGAGAACAGGCCCAGCAGCAGGGTCCCGACATCCACCTCAGCGGCGGCGGCAGCATCTCCCGGTACCCAGCAGAGGCGCGCCAGCAGCGGCAGAGCGGAGCCCAGATTCTCCCCAGACTGCACCTACGGGATCAGCTCAGGTGGGTTTCAAACTTACTCAGAGTGAGTGATGAGAGTGACTCCTGGTCATGTGTGCAGGTCTGCTCCATCTTATTCTCTTAGATTTGGGATGTTGAGACTTTTCTGAGCTGCATGTCCTGATTGTGGAGCTCATTTTGGGTTTTTGCTTGAGCACAAAGCCTCCCGAGTCTGTAAACTTGAAGGACAAAACAATATGTCACTAAAAAGAAACATGTCTTTTGTTCACCTGCATGTTTTTGTTCCCATTTCTTCTTCTCTCCTTCCTGTCAGCAGTGATTGATTTGCAGCTGTAATGAGAGCAGTCATGATTGAATCTCCAGTGTGCATGTGCTAAAAATTACATTGGGTAATTGTCTGTCCATGTGTGTGTGTTTACGTGTGTGTTTTCCTATGTGTGTGTGTGTGTGTGTGTGTGTGTGTGTGTGTGCAAGAAGGGCCCTCACAATCTCCGGTTGAAACACATTGTTCTGTGCTAATTTTTCCCCTCAGCTGCGGTTCATTAGAGGGGCTGTGCAGGCTCAGGGAGAAATGTGTTCCCCGTGTGGAGGGCGGGTCCATGGGAGCCAACATTAAGATGAAAGCAATGAACCTAATCCTGTCAGTTACCAAATTAAACATTACATCTCATCCTCTAATCAGATATTAATCTCTTTATCACTGCTGGAAGCAGAGGCTCAATTTGCTGCTGGTTATTGTTGCTTTGCAGACAATTGAGGGTTCAGAAATTGAGGTGCTCAGGTTGCACTGTATTAACTACATGAGAATTGGGAAACATGTGCATGAAGTATCATAGGTTTGATCTAAAAACAGGAGTTATCTTTAGCCTACTTCAGTCTGTGAAAGAGCAGCCTGATGCTTTGTAAGTCTTGATGATGACCCATTGTTTGCACCCCTTCTGGCGTGCACGTGGTCCTGATTTCACTCATGAAATAATCACACAAAACCATATTTTCCCCTGCTCATATTACACAAGATGCACCATCCAATCCAGGGCTAAACGTGCCATGCATTCTTACTGATAATGACAAATCAAAGTGCTTTTTATCTGCACGATGGGAGCAACTTAATGTCCCTCACATGCCTGGAAAAAAACTTGATGCCCTCCTCGTGAAGAGAGGCAGCAGAGACCCCTTGGACTCAGCAATCAGTTCAGCACACAATAACACAAATTGCATTGAAAAGCCGTTCCCAAAGAGTTGTGATTAAAATAAATGGGGCTCATAAATTTGCCTCTGCCGAGCGTGTTGTTTTTAATGAAATTTTATGAGGCTCTCAGCTCACAGTGCCACAGAACTGGTGAGAGAAGAGAGGAGAGGAGGGTGGCGGTGGGTGGGTGGTTGGGGGGGTGTGCAGGGTGAAGGCGAATGGTATCAGATACATCTCGATGGGTAAACAGAGACAGCACGCATATTAATAAATGCGACACATCTGCGCCAGGCTGATAGACACGTCTGAGCGAGTGGCAACGCAGCAGTGGCCGCCTAGAACTCATTTTGTCTGTGTGTGTATTAGTGTGTGTGTGTTTGTGTGAGGACAGTGGACTCATAATCATTACATGGAGGTATGTGTGAGATCATCTCATTGAGACGTGCCCAGACTACCAGGGAAACTGTATACTGAGGCTCGTTTCTGGACAATGGCTCCGTGCTGATTCTCTTTGCTCGGCTGGGTTTGGTCGCAGCAGATACTGTGACTTTAGAGTTTATTGACATCTGAATAAATCAGCATAATCAAGCTGACATTTCTATGAGCAGAGGAGCCGACTGTATGTGGAAAGCTTTGCCACAAAAAGACATGGTGGGGAAGAAAGAAAGAAAGAAAGAAAGAAAGAAAGGAAGGCAAACCAGTGAAAGACAAAACACAGAATCACTCACAGTGTTTCTATAAGTGTCGCTGCTGCTCTCCCACAGGAAGTACATCACTCAAGTACTGTACTTCGGAGGTACTTGTACTTCCATCCTCTGCTACTGTCTGCTTCATTACATTTCAGAGGTGAACATTGGACTATTTACACCACTACATCTATTTGACAGCAGATTTAGATCTAGCTTTAAAAACACACACGATTTAAACTCACAAATTAAAATGCATCGTTAGAAAAAACCCAGCTTCTTTGACTGGTGACCCTTCACAATAAAGCAATCTAGCTGGAGCTCCTTGTTGATAAGCTGTCAACAGTTTCACTAAACAAAAAAGTCACTTCAAAACTTCTCACATGGCTTCATTAATCAAGTTTTCGAGGCCCAGTGAGGTTAAATTCTACAATATTTCACAATAAAAGCACAAATTGGAAACAGCTTTGTTGCAAAACCTATAATTTCCCTGCTTTTCTCCCCCATTTCTCATCTCACGGCCCCTCAGATTTATTTTCAGCAGACGCTCTTAGCACCCAGGTGTCCGTAGCCAACAATGCTATTTGCACCCAGGTGTAAATAGCTAATGTGGCTATTTACACCTGGGTGCAGGCCTATACAGCATCAAGGCAGAGACAGGCACCCAGGTGTCTGTAGCCAACAATGCTGTTTGCACCCAGGTGTTTACTCCTGGGTGTCCAGGCAAATGTCGAAATATGAGGTTTACACAAACAGGTCTATTCAGCTGTTCTACAAAGGTTTGCTTACACGGTACATTCAGCAGCTTTATACATCGTAAAACTGAAAATAATAACTCATCTACGTCTAAAAACAATAAGCCAGCACTGGACTCAAATCTGAATCTCCCCATGTGAAAGTCCTCCTCCATTTTATGTTACGTTTTATTACAAAAGCAAAGTCACTTATGATTTGATGGATCCAGCCTATACCTCTGCATCCTTCTGTGTGTCAGCTCTGGTAGTTACCAGCTACGCTCCTCCAAGTGGTTGCTTTCTAATGTACCCCGGGTTTTAACACATCAGGGGAAAACTGCATTCTCCTACTCTGCACACTGGACATGGAGCAACCTTAAAAAAGATCTAAAATTAGAATCACTTATACCATTGATAAATTTTAAGGGCATCATAAAGAATCTGGTGACAGAGACGTGTGCTTGTTTTTCTTGAGAGGCCTCTATGTTTGAATAGTTGTTGTTTTATTGAAGATTTATGTATTATATGTTGTATTATATGTTGTAACATGGCCAGGTCTCTCTGGTAAAGGAGATATTTAATCTCAATGGGACTTCCTGGTTGAATAAAGGTTAAAAAAAAGTCCTGTGCTTAACCCATTAATCTGCCTTATCTTAGTCCTGCCATGGACTGTGTCCCACTTTACACTACGTCACCTGACTTTTTAGCAGCACTTGTACATTTTACTTGTACATTTACCACTTTAATCTCAGAGAATATCTGAGACTGGCTAATACTATCCCTTACATGACCTTTTTGCCTTAACCCTAACCGCCTTTGACCTCTATGCATCGACGTAACAAGTTTTAGCCATTTAGAACATGTCATAGGGATGGGTGTAAGTAGCCGACTGGCTGCAGTGCCCAAAGAGGTCAAGCACAGATTAGGAAACAGTCCCAAGAAAACTCTATGAATACAGATTTGTGTCGTGAGACCTATTTTGTTCTTCCTCCCTACCCTGTTAATCTTTTCAAAACCTCTCAGATTTGTTTTCTGACCCTCACGTTGGCTACTGGAAGAAACTAGCTCCACTTCAAGCTACAACAGTAACATACAGTTTGCATATCAATGCATCAGTAATAATTATTATAAGTAATAATGCCATGTATTATAATGTAACACAGGGGCCACTTTTCTGTAGAGTGAGTACTTTTACTTTGGAAACTAAAAGCAGATTTTTTGATAATACTTCAGGTCCTTTATTTGTAAAGGAGTTTTTCTTGTACTGATACTTTTACTTTAGTAGTAAAAGACCTGAGTGCTTCTGTCATGACTGTGTTTAGTGTAAAGTATAATGTCTGTTAAAACAGGACGATAGCCAACAAGGAAAAGATTCATGAAGTTGCTGCTCTGGAGCTTTTGACTGCATCACATGAGCTTCATCATCACATTAAGTTAACTTGATTGTCACAGAACTGTAGATGTTGAGAAGTCTCATCCATCCTGACTTAAAAGTTTCATCATCTATATTCCAAAGTGAACTCAATCTGTTGATGAAGACCCAGTGATGCAGCCCAAAGCTCCAGAACAGCTACTAAATAGACCTTAAGGTTAGATTGTTTTGTCAGCTGCTGTTCCCAAGGTGAAAAATGAACCGTGAACATCAAATATATCCATCTCTGAACACAGTAGACCTGTAGATGATGTTAAAGTTCATCCCCACCATCTCTGATCTCTTGATTTTGCTCTGCTACAGAGAATCGTCTCATCCTGGATGCCTTCGCCCAGCAGTGTAGCAGAGTCCTCAGCCTCCTCAACAACGGCCGTCTCCTGGAGCCCTCCTCCTCCTCTCCCTCCTTCACCTCCAACATCAAGCTGGAAGACGGGCCAGGGGAGGTCCAGGCGCTTCACTGCTCCTCACTGGGGAAATCCAAACCTGAAGAGAGCTCATCCACCACAGACCCAGAGGAGGAGGCCCAACAAAGCCATTTAAACCAACAACAGACCTCTGCTGTTCTCCGCATCTTCACAGACTCCCTACAGAACTATCTGCTCTCAGGGCCTCAGCAGCAGCAGCAGCAGCAACATCTGGCTGCAGGTCTGGAGGATGAGCAGTGTCCGCTGGCAGAGCCCGGCTCAGGGGTGTCTCCTCCGACACACAACCTGGGAGGCTGGGGCTCGCCGACTCCGTCAGAGTCGTACGGCCACCCGTCGTCCACGCTGCCTGAGGAGGAAGAGGAGGAGGAGAACTGCTGTCCACGCTGTCTGGAGTTGGAGCAGGAGGTGCTGTCTCTGCAGCAGGAGAACGAGGAGCTGCGCAACAAGCTGGAGAATATCCCAGGTGCAGTAGTGAAAGCTAAAACTTCACAGGGGTTTGAGTCTCTCCTCTGGGACTGGTTAAAGGTGCACTCATACAGATTGGTGACAAATTAAAGGGAAGGTGTTTTTCCATTATGAGCATCTCCTGCCAGAGATTCTGGGCTTTATTCACAAATAACTATACAGCTGAGGCCCTTTCATCCTCATCAGTTATTGTCATAATTCTAATATTCAACTATAAAAACTTTGTGTGCCAGTCCTAGCTTACAACGGAGTGTAATGATCTGCTACTCCAAGGGTTAGGGTTAATTTCTTGTGTCATGAAATTGCTCATATGTAGCCGGTGTTTATTGGTAGCCTATTAACAGGCATGTAGGTTAAATATAAGATTTTGATTTGCATCCAAGCAGGTGTTAAGATGGCGTATCTAGTCTTGCTGGAAGATACCGCAGCAGTGCCTCCAGGAGACAGGGCATCTTCAGAGACCAACATGACATGTTTAAAGAGAATGTCAATCGGCTTATCGGCTGTTTTCGACTGCCGAGACATTCACTTATATGTTTGCTGCTTTCCCCATGATACACCCTCTAGGCAAATGTATTTCCTTGTATAGAGAAATGGGGGCGTGGCAGCATGCTGATGCCAAATAGCACCTGTACATTTCCGCATGGTGGTGAGAACAAATGTGGCCAGTGCACACGTGTTGTGAACCCAACAGTAATTTTGCGTACACACAGTAAAAACATTTCCAAGAACATGGTAATGAACACGGCCCTGTGTCTGTGTATCTGGAGAGCTACTGGAGACTTGGCTTGGACTTCAAAACAGCTCTGGTTTAATGTCTATTCATTTGCTGATTGCAATCCATCAAATAGTTGTTGAGATATTTCAGTTTAGACCAAAGTGATGGACCAGCATTGCCATCTACAGAGCCAAACAGCTCATACAGCTAGAAATGATGATTAAACTCGATAATCAAGCGAATTAATTTTATGTAGATTGATTAATTGACTGTTTCAACGCTACTTCACTCATTTATTTAAGCTCTCTAATTTGTCACCTGTCTGTATATTTCAGGGAAATTAGTTTGTGCTTCTGTATTAATCAATACTAAACCTACATGTCTGTGCAGGCGTCATTTATTTAGGTTAAGTTTGTGCGTGTCATCAGTTTCAGAGAGCCACACGCTGTCACTCTCTAAATGCATCACAGAGTTTGGGGCAACAGTCTTAATAGCATCTATTTTTATTAAGATTTCTGCTCTCCCCAAAGCATTCACAGCTCCCCAGTGTCACCTTAACCTAATTTGCACTAAACCGGCTCATTTTATCTGTGTGTTGAGGGGATGTATAGTCATATCTCAGCCTCTTTGCTTGCTTGCTGGGAAATTTCACAATGCATCTTTATTTTTGGTCACATTGTCTTTATATACAGTTCCCTGTCAAAATGTTCTCGACTACTTCAAGACTGTTCTTGAGTTTCACAACCAGCTGGTCCAGCCGATGCCAGAGGAGCAGCTCACTGAGGTGAGGAAACAGGCTGCAGTGCATCATTCACAGCTATTCGAAGCATGTGTGATCGGTAGCATATGTTAAGGTATAAAAATATCAGGTCACATTCATCTCACATTATTAACTTCTTTGTTGTGTAAATTGTGTGATTAAGTGGTGTGAAAATATGTAATTATAGAAAACTTTGTCTCTGCAGGAAGAAGAGCGGCAAACAGTCTTTGAGGTCTGTGTTTCATCCTTTGATAAATTCTGTTGTTTATTAAGAACATAAAGGATTTTTGTGTGTATTTGTGTAATATGTGCTTGTGAAACCAACAGGAAGTGGTGGTAAATAAGGGAAATTGACACTAGATGATGCTGTACATCCTGTAAGAAGGCAAGGAAAACAAAAGACGGAAAAGTCATGGTGACAGTGACAGCAGCTGCATCTGAGCGTCTAATGGACAGAACCATGATCTGTTTGGAGACCAATAACAAGGAAGACAAATGTACATATTTAGATAAAAATAATAAGTCAGCAAGCATTATGTAATGTGTGTTTTCTAATCTTGTGTAAGGATTCGTCAGTCAGAAGTCGAAACAACAAAGATATTATGGGTTAAAGTGTGGTTTTTAGTGCCCGCCCCATTGACTCTAATAGAACTGACACCAAAGTCTGGCTTCTCGAACACTGTCACTGTCACCATGACCTTCTTTTCTATATTCCTTAAAAGAAGGACAAAAATAAATTTTGAAAAACTCTAGACAATGCAGTCAGATTTGGAGCCATGTGAGGCAGCAGGACGAGTGTAACCATGGCATACCTGACCTTCCTCTGACCCTCACACCTTCTGTCTTCCTCCTCCCCGCAGGGCAGTAAACAGCTCCTGGAGAACTACCCTCTCTTCATCTCTAACAAGCAGTGGGACGAAGCCGTCAACTCCTCCAAGAAGGACGGCAGGCGGCTGCTGCGCTACCTGATTCGCTTCGTCTTCACCACAGACGAGCTCAAGTTCTCCTGCGGTTTGGGCAAAAGGAAGCGTTCAGTCCACTCAGGAGATCCAGGCCTGGAGAGACGGCCGCTCAACCCCGTCAAAGTCAGCTGCCTCAGAGGTACGCGGCCAGAAAAAAGCTGTAAAGTATTCACATGTTGCTCCAGTCTGCTCAGTTTAAGTGATACATTAAGGCTTAAACACAACACTGATAAAACTCCTGCAGTTGTCCTACAGCCAGAAGCTCTGGCAAAAGGTTGCTTATAAAATGTTAGTGTTGTTTGAATGATGTAGCGCCATGCTTATTAGAGCACTCCACTTTTACAGCCCATGTTTCAGACTTCAAAAGCAGCAGTAACTAACAAGTGAGCTCAGTATTTATGAGCCCATAACAGCATGAAACTGAGACTGTGTTTAAGTGGCAAGCAAATGTCAGCCAAATACAATTTTTGATCACATGGATGTGGGTTATCATATTATTAAATATATATATAAGAACTGATACATTCCTGGTCATGTGATTTCAGTTATAACCGATCAGATTACCCTCCTACTCCAGTTGATCATTGCAACCACAAGGCATCATAAAGTTTTTACTGCGGGAAAGATCGTCTTAAAGACACAAATACTTTTGAAATTGGTGCTACATGACCAGAGCAAACAGAGAAAAAATAGCTGTGGAATTTGGTTTTATTTAAGAGGTAGAAAACCTACAACTACCAGAATCCATTGTGCCAATAAACGCTCCCACTGGTGGATGACTTAATGGAAATTCAGCAATTTTTCCGCAGGAAACTATATGGAGGCCAGCTGGTAACACATGATCTGAAATTACCTTTAAACAGTGAGATAAAATATGTTTCTCTATGGCGAGAAATAGACAACGCAGTCACAGAATCTTGGTTCATATTTGATAAGCACTGCCTAATTTTATGGTTTGATCTAAAAAATTTCAGCCTCTGTTTTCACAATACAAGAAACAGTGAGGCGCCCTTTTCCTGTTCCCAAACTCTCATAATACAGCCAAACAGTGCACTAAAATATGTTTCTGAAGACATTTTAGGTGAGAAATAGAGTCTTGGTTTATATTTGATCAGCCCTGTTTTCATGGGTAAATGGGAAGTTTAACATAGTTCATTTACGCATACTGCCCACATTGTAATGATCCAGAGCTGGTTGAAAATGAGCAAAGTATCCCTTTAAGACAGAAAAAGTCAAACTCTATCTTTTAGTGTAACACCTTTACCACTATTTCATTCATTTCCACCATAAACTGTCTCACAATTTATTATTTTAAAACTGCTATAATGTTTTTTGGCCACTTGGTGGCAGCAAAAACAAGCTTAAATACAACATTAACATATTATTAACTCATTATCTTTTAAGTTCATATGGTGAACTTGTTATTAAACAGTTGCTTATTTACACATCTGGCTATTTCAGAGCAACGTGATAATTTATTTAGTTCAATATTCACTCTCTGTTAGCTCTGTTTCAGGTCTCTATCAACTCCTAAAGGGAAATATCAGGGGCCAGTTGCACAAAACACCTTAAGTTAAGATTTTCCTTTAAGTCCTAGTCAAGGTTTTTTTTTCTCAAAATAAAATTGGTTGCACGAAACATCCTTAAGTCTTCTCCTTAAGGTTTCCCTAAAATGTTGACTAAAGTATTTGTGATTTTCTCCTTATCTTGGTCTTATACCACAGGAATCCCCAGACCGTTGCACAAAAGATCTTAACAACAACAAGATACCTCTGACTCTGTCTTAACTGCAACATGACCAAGTTTGTGGTGATAAATGAAATAAACTAATACACTCTGAGAAGAGTTTTCTACGACCAGGAGAACCAGATGGATACGCTTTTGATTTGACTGAATTAATTTTCATTGCAATTTCTTCCTACAATCGTTTTCTGTTTTCTGGTATTTGGGGATCAAATTTACTGTGCAGGATGTGCTTTCTATGATCGTATTCATTCAGAAGTATAATCTCCTCTGATCAATATGGTTTTCTTGCCTTCTTTTATTCTGCCATTTTTTCAGTATCTAATTATAAGCCAACTTTGTGAGACAATAACAGGCATCACAAGCGTGAGTCAAAGCAAACAAACAGTCTCCATGGAAACTTTAACCGCTGTAAAATATCTTTCAACGCAGTTAATAAGTTACATTTTTCCTTTAAAAGGAAACCTTTTAAGGGATTCTGTGCAACTGTGTAAGTCCCTAAGCTGAGGAGAAATTTTGAGGCGTTTTGTGCAACTGGTCCTTGGTTCTTAAACTGCTGAATGATCCACTATGTTGACCAGCTAGTCTCTAACTGTGTCTGTATGCTGTTTGCTGCTGAGCAGGTAGTGTACTGTCAGCTGTTTAGAGCTTTCTCATTGACATTGGTTCCCTGCGCGGCCAAAAACAGCAGAGAGCAATGAGAGTGAACCAAAGCAGTAAAATTGTGACTGGAAAATTGGCCTGACAGCAAAACAATGAGCCTAAACTCAGTGTAAAGCTTGTTTAAAGAAAGGGGAGGTGCAGATTCATGTGATAAATCTCTTTAAGTTTCACATTGTCATTTCATACATTGTTATTTCTTTTCACACTGATCTCACATCCAAATATAAGACTAAGCATTCATACCTTTAATTTGACTGAGATAGTTCTTTTGGATCTTGTGATTTAAGTCCCATGATCATAGTTTGTGTGACACATGTACAGTGAAGTTTAAAGTGTCACCCCTGTCGAAGCCTGATACAAATCAAGGCTTGCTTTGGTATGTTTGATCTTTTTTTGATTGAAAATCTTCCCGCCAGAGTTCATCCGGATGCACTGTGCCTCAAACCCAGACTGGTGGATGCCCTCCGAGGAGCAGATCAACAAAGTGTTCAGTGATGCAGTCGGTCACGCTCGTCAGGGCCGGGCGGTCGGCACGTTCCTGAGCAGCAGCGGCAGCAGCACCAGCAGCCTCTACATGGACGCCTTTGACGGACACCTGTCACAGGACGAACTGTATTTAAAAGGCTGCCAGAACGGCCAGTCGGACTGAAGTTAAAGGAGAAGCAAAAGACAAATGCCTGAAATGTAGCTGTACAACAACATATCCCAAAACACTGACCTTAACCTGTCACTTTACACAGTGAAGAAAACATTCCAGAGGTTTATCCTACAGAATATAACCACAGTCTCTCTGAACCACTTTCAGTAGTTTGTAGCTTTTTTGCCATTTTTATACAGACAGTTATGTTTCGTTAAAATTTGACTCTTAAGCTGTTTTAAACTTTTAAAATTTGAGTCTTCCATTTGCTACTTTTTCTATAGTTTCATGTTTTGAACAGTTACGTCTCTATCAGTGGAATATTTCTGTTTGTTATGTTGTGTTTTTGGGATGGAGTTCCAGTTGAGTTTTTTCACAATTTACTTGCAAACCTTCAGGTCATCAGGAAGCTATTTGTGTTCATGTTACTCAAGCCAGAGACTTATTATATCCATCACTGACACCACAAGCTATGGAGGCCCATTTCCACCAGTGTGATGAAAACAAAAGATCCTGTGAGTCATTATAAAGAGAAACTCCCTCAAAACGACTTAGTGTCTCTAAATTATGAGAAAAAATTCTCCAAATAATGACTTAATAATGAGAAACATTATTAAAATGACGATTTTAAGATACTGATTATTTTGAGATACCATGTCATTAATTTAGCAAGTTTCACTTTATTTTGAAACACTAGCATATGATTTTGATATCAGTCATTATTTGGAGATACTAACTCATTTTTGAGAAAAGCAAGTCATTATTTTAAGAAAGTCTCTGTTTTGTAGATACTAACCTATTATTCTGAGAAAGTTTGTCATTATTTAGAGGTACCACCTCGTTATTTTTGTGATACTATTTTTATTCTATTTTATTTTTTTTAAAGAAAAGTCATTATTTTAAAGATGTTCCTTGATATTTAGAGATATTAACTCAATATTTTTGAGATACCAAGAATTTGTCATTATTTTGAGAAAGTTTCTCATTTTTTTGAGATACTAACTTATTATTCTTAAATACCAAGTCATTATTTTGAGATACCAGGTCATTATTTTGAGAAACCAAGTCATTATTATGAGAAACCAAGTCATTATTATGAGATATCAAGTCATTATTTTTGAGATACCACATTGTTATTTTTGAGATACCACGTTGTTATTTTGACATAGCAAGTCATTATTTTGAGATACCAGGTCATTATCTTGACATACCAAGTCATTATTGTGAGATGTCAAGTCATTATTTTGAGATACCAGGTCATTGTTTGGAGATACCAACTCATTATTATAGAATACCAAGTCATTATTTTGAGATACCAGGTCATTATTTGGAGATACCAAGTCATTATTTGGAGATACCATGTCATTATTATGGAATACCAGGTCATTATTTTTGATATACCAGGTCATTATCTTGACATACCAAGTCATTATTATGAGACATCAAGTCATTATTATGAGATGTCACGTCATTATTTTGAGATACTAGGTCATTATTTTTTAGAGACTTTCTCATTAACTTGAGATACCAAGTCATTATTTTGAGATACCAGGTCATTATTCCAGGTCATTATTATGGAATACCAGGTCATTATTTGGACATACCAAGTCATTATTTTGTGATACCAGGTCATTATTTTGAGATACCAAGTCATTATTTGGCGATACCAGGTCATTATTTTGACATACCAAGTAGTTATTATGAGACATCAAGTCATTATTATGAGATACCAGGTCATTATTTTTTAGAGACTTTCTCATTAACTTGAGATACCAAGTCATTATTCTGACATACCAAGTCATTATTATGGGATACCAAGTCATTATTCTGACATACCAAGTCATTATTTTGCGATACCAGGTCATTATTTTGACATACCAAGTCATTATTATGGGATACCAAGTCATTATTCTGACATACCAAGTCTTTATTTTGACATACCAAGTCATTATTATGAGACATCAAGTCATATATTAAGTCATTATTTTGAAAAAGGTTCTCGTTATAATGACTAAACAGATCGTATGTTTTTTCATCACATTGCCTGTAATAAGCTTCTCTACGTAGCACCTCCACCTTCCTATATCAAGGAAAGTAGCATTTAATATTTCTCCACCAAATTCTGCGTCATTGGTGAAGCACCTTTACTTGCAACCTCTTCTACAGGAGTGCCTCTGAGAAAGTCGTTTTGTTACCTGTAGTGTTGCACTTTGCATCCCCATGTGTTTTTCTTAATTTGAATCGATTCTGACGTGTCAAGTTTTAAAAAGAAAAGTGCATTCAAAGTCTTTCCAACGTGCTCAAATGCAGCTTCCCTTGGGTTGAAAGAAGTATTAGTCAAGGCTGATAGGTTATAAACTTCCTGCAGCAGATTTCAGGATATTCAACTAAAAAAGAAAAGTGCGTCATATTGCAGAAGAGTCTTAATAACTGCAGAAAAGGTAGCATGAGGTATCCTAAATTAGTGTAAAATGCTGTATATGGCAGCGATATAATGCTGATGACGCTATTCCAATCATTAAAAAGGAACAACACAGTGGAGATAAAAAAGGAGACTGTTTCTATTTTATGCTAATTTCTGCACTTTCTTTGCTGTCATAGATTATTTTATTCATCCTGATGTAAAAAGTCTTCAACTTACAGTAAATTTATCACATTTTACTTTTAGTTTTTCATCAGTGAGAGGACTTTTTGACTCAGGATGAATGAATGTTGCCATAAAATAATGCCTTAAACTTGATTCAAGACCTCCACAGTACAAAGTGTTGATAGTTTGTGTGTTGTTACGTAATCACAACGTGGGTTTGTACTGTCCTCTTCACTATTACAGACAATATCCACATCTAAATCTTTATCTTTTGACCCGAGTGGAAAAAAAATCGAGCACTTCTTCTTGTCTGAACCTCTTATTTGCACTTTTACGTGTCTCCTTGTGGCTGTAGCTGTCCCACAGTGAGAATTTAACCATTTCTTATTCTTTGTATTTATTTTATTTGGTACTCAATAACTTCACTTCACGACACCGTTTTCTACGTTTTGAATGTACCAGATTTATTAAGTCAGTTTGCCACGTCGACAGTGCTGTGTAAATGTGTAATATAAAGTACAGTATTGTGTGAGGTGTTCTCTCTCTTTCTCTTAAAGAAGCCAAGTAGAAAAGTGCCACAGAAACCTTAAACAGTTGGATTCTGTCGTTGTGTTGCTGTTCTGAATGTGAGCGTTTATTTGTATTTACTCCCTCAAAGTGGCTGTTATCAACACTGTGAAACATCAGTAGGATTTTTACAAATCTAATAGCTTCTGTTGTTTTTTATTTATGATAAATAAAATAAGCACTGAAGCTGAAAGCTTACACTGATGATCATCTATCTGTTATATATGTGATATGAACATTTGTTTAATTCTTAATCAGTTTAAAGGGAGTTTTTTTGTGTGTGTGTCACTGAATAGCATCAAATACGTGATTCCAGATCATGATGCATTCCATCCATCCATTTTCATCCGCTTATCCGAAGTAGCAGGCTGAGCAGAGTATTCCAGACGTCCCTCTCCCCAGCAACACTTTCCAGTTCCTCCTGAGGGACCCCAAGGCATTCCCAGGCCACATAAGATATATAATCCCTCCAGTGTGTTCTAGGTCTGCCCCGGGGCCTCCTACCAGTTGGACGTGGCCAGAACACCTCCAACAGGAGGCGCCCAGGAGGCATCCTGATCAGATGCCCAAACCACCTCAACTGACCCCTTTCGAAGCGAAGGAGCAGCAGCTCTACTCCGAGCTCCCACCGGATGTCCAAGCTCCTTACCCTATCTCTAAGGCTGAGCCCAGCCACCCCACGGAGGAAACTCATTTCGGTCGCATGTATCCATGATCTCATTCTTTCGGTCACTACTCAGAGCTCATGACCATAGGTGAGGGTTGGGACGTCGATGGACCAGTAAATTGAAAGCTTCGCCTTCTGGCTTAGCTCCCTCTTCACCTCTTCATGATGTATTGTATAGTTAAATTTTGTAACATTTGTATGTTACATACATATCATATCAACGTTTCTACAGTGCCGTAGCTTATGAGCTGACTTTATGGAAGTGGAGGAGATGGTGGATGGCATGACATCTAGGCCAGACCGGCATTCAAGACCAACAAACACCAACCCATCAGCGTTTCCAGCGGCTTTTAGCCACCAAAAATAGGTGTTTTTTTTAGCAACCTGTTGCTGTGTTTCCACGGGAGAAAGTGCCACACAAAGTGATTGTTTTTTATTAAGATATTGCTGCATTTCCAGTTGGAATTGTGCTCCCAATAGTGGGTACTTTAAGCTAAAACATGATCTTTTCCTAACCAAAACCAAGTGTTTTTTGTGCCTAAATGTAACCACATGTAACCACAGCACTGTTAAAATAAAAACTTTCAACATATCTGCCACATAAAACATACAAATGTAACATATCCGTGGTACGATGCCAACATTTATTGCCAAATTTAAAAATTGCACCACCCTTCCCTCAGTATCTCAAAATAATGTAACACTATTTTGCAATAACTAAAGGCACACAATGAATTTAAGGTGGTGTCTTCCAATTCAACCCATAATATGTTAATGGAATAATAATTTTAACATAGCCAACAAATCAAACAATATGGGTGGAATTTGGAAATATCGAAATGATGACAAATATTGTGCCTCCTGTTCACTGAATATGGCATATGTTTAAGTTTTGAACTGATAGTAAAGGCACACTCTTTTCAGTCACTATAGACCAGGGGTGTCAAACTCGTTTTAGTTCAGGGGCCACATACAGCCCAAATTGATCTCCAGTGAACAGGACCAGTAAAACCACTGCATAATAAATAACCACTTCAAATTTCTTCCTTTCTTTAGTGTAAAGAAGTACATTCTGAAAACGTTCATCCATTTACAAAACAAATGATAAACAGTCCACAATATCCTCAGAAAAATATGTGCAAACTGTCTCAGTTTTTCCACATTCAGCAAGTCTGCTACTCACTGTCATTACATCTGACTTCTTATTCATAATTTTACACTAAAGTGAAGCTGTTGAAAAAGCAGGTGAAGTTGTCCCCTGCCTTACAAACCATTTACAATCTAAAGTTTTGTCAGTGCCTCAGCAGCAGGGTTACACTCATATTGTTTCAGGATAGAAGTCTGAAACAGATTCTTTTGCACTGAAGCTGCTGGTTGACGACGGACGGCACACCAAGTATCCACTCTCTGTTTAAATTACTCCTGACACCTCAGCATTCACAAGTGCATCAGTATTAGGTGTGCAAGGTCATCTAGTGGGCCAGATTGGATCCTTTGGCGGGCCGGTTCTGGCCCTCGGGCTGTATGTTTGGCACCACTGCTATAGACCCTTCAACTGGCCCAAAAAATATAGACGACGCCCACCCTCCCTCTCATGGAAATGGTGGTGTCTCTTCCCCAAGCTCAGGTGCTCTACCAGAGACCTGGGAGTTTGAGGGTTCTGGGCAGTATCTTAGCTGTTCCTAGGACTGCACTCTTCTGGACAGAGACCTCAGATGTTGTACCTGGAATCTGCTGGAGCCACTCTCCCAGTTTGGGGGTCACGACCCTAAGTGCTCCCATTACCACTGGCACCACTGTTGCCTTTACTCCCTACATCTTTTCTAGCTCCTCTTTCAGCCCTTGGTGTTCTTCCAGGTTCTTGTGTTCCTTCTTCCTGATGTTACTGGCGCTTAGATGCAGAGGATTTGGGATATATAGATATATTCCATAATCTTTGCCTATCAGTAACATTTGTCAGGATACCAATACATTTCACTTTGTCTCAGTGTCTCAGCAGACAGCTTTTGTTTCAGAGGTCGGATGGTGGCTGACATGTTTTATTACATTAGAAAGAAATAAGAGGATGTGACTACAGCTCCTCCACCCGGGAGACTCCAGCATGTTTGTGGTTGCTCTCATGTGCGCTTCTTCTCATACTGAACTGTCGCTGATCTCCACCAGGTGGCGCTGTAGCTGTAATAATAACAGTAAGCTGATGAAGTCCATCAGGAGAAGCTGGTCTCAAGCCAATGAAGATAAAGGACTGTACTGTGATTTTAAGGTATGTTCATGAAGGGTAATAGCCTACACCGAGATGTGCATAAAATGAATGATAAAAAAAAATAAATGAAATGCCTGATCAGGATCAGGAGTAAGGGTCTATTGATGGTTAGAATAAAAATAATTGTATATAATTATTTAATGTGTTTTTACATTTCAATCAGTTTAAGAATTCAGTTATTAAGTCTTTTTTTATGGCTTTTTGTTTTTTAGGTTCTCTCCCTTTGTTTTGCTTGCAGCACCATGTGGTGAGACACATTGTTCCAGAGGTTTGGTCGGAAATCGTATTTCTGGAAATCAAATAATTTAAAGGAAGAGCCGGAAAATATTACATTTCCACGCAGGGTTCCGCCCAGAAACTTGAGTGTCTTCATTTTCTGCTGTTTCAGACAAAGACAATCTGCTGGATGTCCTCTGGTGTCCATGTCCCCTTTGTGACAGCACCGTGCAGCACACAGCACAGCAGCAGCAGCAGCGTGTGTGTGTCTGTGGATCTGTTAAAGCTCCTGTTGGGTGTTTCTCTTTAATTCTGCGGCATCTCTCTGCCTGTATGCGGGCCTGCTGGTCCGGAGGAGGGCGGGCCGTGAGCACAATGAGCACATTTCGGACAGTAAACTAACTGATGCGACATGTACGGAGCGCGGACTGGGGGATGATCTGTGCACGCAGCTCCTCTAACTTGGTTTGCATTGATTGGATTTGGGAATGGCACGCGGAGCTTCAAGTTGAACCCCACGGGCCCG